AACTTTAATTAATAGATTTTATGATTTATTACTTTCATCTTTAAATTAAATTTAAAAATAATAATTTTTTAACAATTATATTTTAAGATATATTAAAACGGATAATATATTAATTATTGTCCTAGCTTAAATAACTCAAATCCTTTCTTGACCTAGGAAGCAGGAACTAGTGCACCCTACAAACCTAACCGCATTCATTCTCAATGCTCCATATTAATTACATTCTTTATTTTTATCCTCTTTTCTTCTGACTCTTTTCACTCTCCTCTGTTAAAAAGAAAAACTCACTACAGTGGCATGGCAAAATCACAGAGTGCATTCTGCTTCCTGCCGATACATACAACCATATATTCTCATACTGCCAAAAATTTCATCACTCACCTGTCTCCTGATGTATGGGGCTCTTCCTCAGTGGGTCTTTCATGATTAACAATTACAAATCACAACTACCTTCATTAATGGCCATGAAATCGATCAGCACCCTTTTAGAGACCACAATAAATGTTAGTCCGAACCGTACGTATGTACAGCAATTTCCGAATTTGGCCTAAATTCCCCCTTTTATGACTTTTCCAGCTCTTCACATGTCTTCCAACTACTTCCTTACAGACCTCATGTGAGGATTGAAGATTGGTATGCTACATATGGTTACTGTGGATTATGGATTTTATAATCAGCTAATGGTACGACAATATTATGAAAATGGAAAACAATGATGGGATTTAGAGTTATGCACTGATTATCTAGTCCTACGTATATGCAGATTTGAAGCAGATAATCCAAGCATGACGGGATGCTCTGCGCTCTCACATCTCAAGTACTGTCCTTCTAGCCGTTGGGTATTCATGTAATACACTCGTCTTGGTTATCAGGAATATATACTCGAGTCTAAAACATGTACAGTACAGTGCAACAATTAATGGTCTGGGCAGAGGAGAAACGCGTTATTTTTATGGGAAAGAGAAATTAGGCAGGCATGTTAAATATGCACAAACATATTACTAGATATCTAACCATACAACTTATGGCCAAGATAGTTGACACCTAACATTCCAACAATTAGTTAGAAGGGATTCTTCATTTGTTGAGCTAATCGAACCGCGCAAAGATATGGTTTTCTTATAATACCTTTAATACTAATGCTACAGCTTTAAACGGTCCCCCTCTGGACCCCAAAGTTTTCTGGAGTTCTATCTCTTCCAACCAAACCACTTCAAAGGGATTTATACCTACACTCAACAGGAGTTAAAGCTTCCAAACAATGAATGTTGCTGCCAGTAGTTGGACTTGGGAGAAGTATTGGTGCAGACGACATACCATCATCACTAACAGATCTCACAAGTCTTGCTGCAAATTTCGTCAATGGGACGTTATCTGCTTAAGAAAATTGGGATCAAATGTTAGTTCTTTCTGCCAATAATGTTACTAATTCAAAAAAAAAAAAAAAAAAAA